TATTAAATATTTACTCTATTAATAAAGATCATAAGAAATAAAAAAAACTCTTTCCGCTAATCCCTTGCCAACTCAAAAAACAGACATTCTCAAAAATATTTTTTTATTTTTGATAATAAAGTTTATACACTCTCCTTAAAAACATTACTCCCTGAAGGCAGGTGCCTCTCCCACTTGTTTACTTTTCCTTCTTTGAAAAACTTTGGATATTTTAGCAACAAAATAAACAAAACTTTATCCATTTGGTCTATGGCAAGAACACTTTACTGGGAAGAAGAAACCTATAGAAAAATACTCTCCACTACTCTCTCCAAAGGTTTGGAACTTTAGAAAGTGAATCACTAGTGAATACATTTCCCAAGCTCCATAAGAATCTTGGGTCCACCATAAGCGAACATCTTGGTCTTGAGGTGAATGGATAAGCTAGTTGGGCCTGCCAAGCGAATGCATTTCCCAAGCTCCATAAGAACCTTGGGTCCACTATAAGTTAAAACTCCTGTGGTCCAGGCAGGTGGATAAGCTGGTAGGAATCTATTGGACAGGTATATGAGCCTATTCCACTATTCATACATGTCTGTAGGTAGTACTTTCAAGTGTGTTAAAATTTTCTTGATTTTTTCTGAGGAATTTTGCCTATCTCAGTTTGACTCTGAATTTTTTGTTATACCAGATTTTTTAATTGGTGATTGGCTGAAATCTTGAATTGATTGATCGACATGTAAAAGAAATGTAAACAAGATATTTACTCACACGTGCCTCGCGTCGTACTACATTATAACTGATGATGTAATTGGATAAAGTGAAAGAGCAAGGTGTCGAGGTGTTCTCTTGATAAGAAGTGTTTGAAAGTCTTCCCTCTCTCCTCTTGTGCTGGTTTCTTTTCTCCTCAAGGTCAAAGAAGGTTCTCATTAGGCTAATGATTGATTTTGGTGGGGTTTTTATTTTATCAGTACAAACTTTTCTCCTTCCCCTTTATTCTTCCCTTTTATCTTCTCCAAAAAATAAAAATTTTTATACCTTAGGACCATAGAGATTAAGTTGGGGTGAACAGTCTTGAGTGAAGGGCTGGCAATGAAATGGAGATTCACAAGGAACGTGGGTCAAAATAGAACAACTTTATTTATTTCCCTTAATCACATCTAGAGGCCAGTGGCTGTTGACGAGTGTGCCATATAATGAAAGAAGTTTAACCCTTAGCATAGATTCATTAGACACTTTGTATCTATCCATTTGTACTTCGGGTCAATCTGAACATATTTGTTTGAATAAACTTAAAATATATGGCCTGATTAGGTGTAAAAAAAAAAAATAAAAATAAAGATCATAAGAAATGCTTTACTTAATATTTAAAAAATTTTTATTAAAAGTTTTAAATCTTTATTTATTAAAAAAACAAAATTTTATTTTATAAATTATATTTAGAAGTTTTGATTATTGACAAATAAGTTGAATTAAAAAGATTTATACTTTATATATATTTTTATACTTATAATAGTTTATAATTTAATAAATAAATGTGGGTTTATTGGATTGCCACAAATATTGTATCCAAACTTCCGTATCACATCCATATTCAGTTAGGCTGCATGAAAATTGAACCTCTAATCTTTCTGACGATCGTGGGCTAAAAACAGATTGAAGCAGAAAAGGTTGCATGAGGAAAAGCTTCTGGTCTAACTTCGATAAAAAGTTCACAAACTCAACCCCCCTGAGCATAGCAGACTCCATTGCACAATGCGAACAAAAGAGGCAGGTCCTAAACCAATCTATTCCAATCTGGTACTTTGAGGTCTGACCCATACTGATACTCTTTAAGCTTAAAAATATGGATCACACAAGGCAAGACCATTAGCCACAGGTGGTGAAAAAATAAGCAAAAATCGTTAAGCCAAGTGAGTCTATCGAGAACCAAAACAAGGATAATTAGAAACCCAAGCAAGGACGCCATGGCCACAGGTGGTGAGAACAGTAGTACTAAGTTATGCTAGTAGTGCATCCCGAGGACTGGTTATAACAGGTGACTAGGGTGACTGGAATCGGTCTCTATAATAACACTCTATAGTTCTCCAACCATGAGCAGCCACAAGGTTGTCAAATCTGAACCTAGCAGGAAGGTGGGTTTAAACTAGTAGCAGGACTTCCCATCTCCTGAATTTGTCCCACTCAGCATGCGGGCCCCACTTTTACAATGGTAAGTTGATATAGTTGGGTTAAATAGGTATAAGAAATAGGTTAACTTAAATGGACCTTTGATGTAATTGCAATATTGGACATAAATTCTCAATAAAAACCAATATGTCTAGTACTTTTCACCTTAAAAAAAAAAAAAAAAAAAAAAAAATAATAATAATTTAATAAACAAATAACTTTAGTTTAATTGTGAATTTTTTTTAATTTTAAAAAATATTATTATTATTATTATTTTTAATTAAAGACCTATAAGTCTATAGTACAGTGGTTAGTACTCTACAGATCAGATTACAAGATACTAGTTCAATTCCATATGAAGGCAAATAAATAAAATTAATATGGTATCCAATACTATAGTCAGTTATATGTCATTTTTCATAAGAAGCCATTTCACATACCAATTCAGTGGACGTTAAGATTGTGATCTTCAGAAAAGGAGTCATGGTGCAACGATCATCTGGTTGGTGCTACAATGATTGCCAGAAGTTGAATAACAAAAAAAAGTGTAGAAAGTATCTGGTTTGAGAAAAGATAACTTAATAATTACTTTCTCATAATATCTGATATCTCTTCTTGCAAGTTATTGATAGTTTAGTTTGGATTAGAAGGTTTTCTTTACAGAGTTTTATTTGCTACAATAGGTACTATCCCCAGTTTTACCTTTTACTTTCTTTAAAATATTTATGGTTAAAAATAAAACTTAATATAAAATAATAACACTAATAAAGTATATATACATTAGTCTTGACTTGTCTAAAATAGCAACCAATAACAACAAGCTGATATGGAAGTAAAATCTAATATAGTTTAACAGTAGTTTAGAATAGCTCATAAATAGTAATTATCTATGTAAAAATGTATAAGATATATATATTATACATGTGGTGTAAATTATTTGCTATTGACTCAATTGCCAAAATCCTCAAAAATAATTGCGTCTGACTCAATTATTTTATATGTTTTAATAGTGACTCAATTAATTGCGTCAAATAATTGCGTCAATTGCGTCAAGGATCTACCAATTTCTACCACATGTATAATATATATGAACTAAATAAAAACCAATATTGGATAAGGCCTAGCTAGTTAAATAAAAAAAAAATTATTTTTAATTAAAAAAAAATTTTTTTATCATATTTAAATATTGTAATAAATAGTTTATCTTTTAATATTAGTTTATTTTTATATTTATTATTGTTATTTTTAATAATATTCTTATTTATTTTTAACATATATCATTAAATAATTATTATAATATGATATTGATTAAGCAGTTCAAAATTATTATTATATTGATATAATATATCAATTGAACAATTTATTAAATTTATAAAATTAATATAATTCAAATAAACTATATATTGTAGTTCAAGAATTAATAAATTTAAAATCCAATCAAATTTATATTAAAATACTATATATAATAAATAATTATTGTTTTTAAAATTTTTAAATAGATTTCAAATTTCAAATTTAACTTATATTTGAATATCTGATTTTTGTCTTTATAAAAAAATATTTTTTATTTTATTAAAAATTGGTTTATTTATTAAGATTTCAAATATAATTATTATTATTATTATTATTATATTATATGATTTTTTTATTTTTCAAAAATTATTACTTGATATACAGTATATGATCAAACTATAGTATTTTAAATTAAAAATATTATTATTAAAGAAATTCAATTAGATTTAATTAAAATCTAATTACTTTTATAATTATTCATATATAAAAAAAACAAGGTTATAAAGAAAAACTGTTATAGATCCTTTCTTATATAATTAAAAACCAAGCAAAATTTTCAAATTTGTTTGATCTTTAATTAAAAAAGTCTTATCCTGATGCAACAGTGGTTTTTAACGTTTTTATATTTTAAAGTTTATGGCTTATATGACAGATAGAAAAGAAAATTATCATAAAAAAAATTTTTTTAAAAAAACTTTAAATATATATTGAAACTGGTTTACAACAAATCTTTTAATCATAATTCTAATTTAGAAATATAATTGAAAACAAGATACTTGAAAAAATTGGTAAGTAAAAAAATCACGAAAGGATGCAATTAAAAATAGTAATTATAAAGTTAAAAAAAAAAATTCAATTAAATTACTAATCGAGATCTATTTATTTTTTATATTAATAAAATATAATCGATAGAAGAATCATTTTTACACCCGAAGATTTACGGTTTTGCAGGAGTCAATTCATCAGCCCACAATTATTTGTATGCGACACAAAAAAACAATGATTTCCAGATGAAAAGTTCCCGTGATGGAAGATAATGTGGTGGAAGACGGGTAGTAATAATAGTTGCGCAAAGAGAAGCACAAAAAGGAAGCACAAAAAGGAAGCACAAAAAGGAAGCGCAAAAAGGAAGCGCAATTTTTGATTAATTGCATACATTCCAATTAAATTGAAACTGCGGAATCTGGTAAAGAGAAATTCCAAGATGCAAAAGGAATTAAAGTTTTATTAGATTTATTGTTATTCGAAGGGTTTACCTACAGTACATTATTGGATTTGTTTATCGGCGGTCAAATATTACGAAACATATTTCCGCAATCACAATGAATGAACACCAATCACACGCGTTGTATCAGATTTCGAGAAAAATCTAATTAACGAAAAAAATTTTTTTACGCAGTGTTTACACGCAGTCTTACATAATTCTGTTTTTTTTTCCGTATCTGTAGAGCGATCGGTGAGACTACGGACGGTATCGGAGACATGCAGTCCTACTACGGTGTAGGGACATTTGGATGAAATCGGTGGGAGGAGATTTACGCAGTATCACCTCGATGACGATGTCTTTTAAACCCGCAAGTGATCCACGATCCACCGAGCCTTCTCCGGTTATGGAAGGACCCCACGAAACATCGCACCGTACACGTTTTTCTTTTCACGAATCTTAATCAAATTCAAATACTAAATTTGTACACAATGAGACAGTCCAAATTCTTCGTGATTCCACAAATGGTGATTGTGATCCGTGAGTCGTCCACAATCACACGGATTATTATTATTCAAAAGCCATTCATTGTTTATTTGCTTATAGACCGAAGCGCGTTCTGAACTGGTATGACTGAATGACTGGTTGAATTCGATGACTTCTTTTCTCTTCATTTTCCTAAATGACTACTTGCATGTGCAAGAATGGAATGGAAACAATAGGAATCTTGTGAATATAACCAAAATCAGGAAAAGGACCTGGACCCCCAAAATTTTAAATCTTTTTTTGGAAAGGTTGCAAAGTTTGGATCAGAACAGTGACAAATTAAAGGAATTCTATTGGGCGAACGTAGGTTTCTTCTATTTTCCGATAGAATGAAACAGGATTCGAACAAGATTGACCGTTATCGTTTATGAATCTTGTGCGAGAAGAATTTATCACGTCAAACCTCTGAAGAGAAAAAAGGTATGGTGTTTATGCGCACGAAAGGGGATTATTCACTCGGAACAATCACAATGCCTCTCCTTGCCAACCCCCGTCTTCGCGATCGGAAGTTAAATTCTCACACTCGCCTTCTTTTACAATGTGATTTGCTGGAATTTCCTCACGAATTTTGGACGGGATCCAGATGACATCATTTATCAATAATAATTATTATTATTACGCTAGACCTGACACCATCAAACAAACTAACAAACTTCGTAGGGAGTCAATCGATTCATGGTTATTCTTCACCACCCTGATAAGGATATGCGTTATGTATTTATGTATGCAGTATGTTGTTATCTTCAATATGAAATACCGCAGTCGATCTCTTAACAATGCCTGATACTACATTGCACTTCCGGTTTAATTAAAAATTTGTTTTATTTGTTTAATATTATTAATTTCTGTTTTAGATGACTGCGCTTTTTTTTTTTGTGTGTGAGCTCATGACCACATCTGGTAACCAGCGATTACCGGATTTGTCTAGTACAACATTTGCACTGCGTAAACAAACGGGTCATGCATAAATTCTTTT